TCCCTACACCGCAAAGGTTTTCGCCATGGAATCCCTTCATACCTGGCAAAGGAAGGAGGCCGCTCGTCGCTTTGTAGCATCCGCTTCATCTTGTCATTTACCTAAGGGTACCCCGTGAGTTCTCTAGGGCAGACATGATTCATCGCTTAATCTAATCAAATCTCCTATTTCACGTGTTTTGCATTTTTATTGTATATTTCACGTGTTTTGCATTTTTATTGTATGCACCACATATATTATTTTCAACATTGCATCAAAACCATTCTTTTTTTTATGTGTCATCGATCGGGCACACCCCCTGTTCGATTGATTATTGTTGGTCTACTTAATTAATCTGCCGCACACCAGCCTGATTGATTGTCTTCGGTCCATTCAATCAATTGGTTGCCCACCGACCCAATTGCATCAATTGACCCTCCTTTGTTGATTAGTCGCACTCCCCAGCTCGATCGACCATTTTTGGTCATTTGATTGGTCTGACACAGCCGACCTAAGCATATTGATTGACCATCCTTTGTTAATCGGTCACACACCTCGGACAAATCAACCATTTACGATCCATTTGATTGGTTGGCCACCACCAACCTAAGTGTATCCATTAACCAATCTTTGTTCATCGAACGCACACTTCGGCTCAATCGACTATCTCTGATGCCATCGATCGATCGATTGCCACTGACCTAATCGTATTGATCGACTACCCTCCGTCAATCGACCACAAACCAGTTTGATCGACTTTCTTTGGTCCACATGATCAATATGTGCCTCCATCAGCTCAATCAATCTATCTTCGACATAGTTGATCAGTGTTGTCACTTGCTGGATTGATCAGTCGATCTTTTGTATTTGATATATTGTATTCATTGCATGCTTCTTCACACTGCCTGCATTAGCATAGCCACATTTGCACACTATCATGCAACCATGATCATATTCCCCTCATTTGTTCATGATGAGTATTAATGCCTCTTAACAACACATTACTATATATATTTGTTTCATGGCATCCTTATGCTACTTTGCTCCATGCCATAGGTGATTTGCACTTGCACTTTCCACCCTTGTATGTTTGCTTGCATAACACCTTGTATGTCCATGACTTGCTTGTTTGATGTTTTTGCATTTGGATTAGTGTTCTCATACACTTACTCCACACTCACACATCATGTGAATGGATGGCTCACCACCAAGCCAATTTGTGTTGTGATTCCCTTCAATAAGAGCTACATCCTTTCACTTCCTACGGCAGCACTCCAGATTGTCGTAGACGACCCTCTAGGTCACTGCCTTCATGGCATACCAACCCTCCGAGTCACTGTCTCCATGACACACCCACATTACGGGTCACTACCTCTACGATACACCCACCATTCAGGTTACTGCCTCAACGACACATTCACCCTCCGAGTCACTGTCTCCACTACACACATTTACATTTGTGTTGTATGTTTTGCATGCAGCATTTGACACTGTCGTTGCATTCGTCACTAGTAACTAGTATACGCATTGTATGCTAGTGGCAAATTTTTGCCATCTTTCAATCGTTTCTACTCTGTAAGGATGATCATATCACATGGAATTATATTATGTTTGCATGTACATTCTCTGATTGTTTTGAAAACAAATCTGGCTCATTAGTTGAGTGACCCGTTGCTGGTCATGACGAGGTGGCGAGTATTGCCCACAGGGATGCATCGGTGGGGCTATACTAGCTACCACGCCTTGATTAGGACGTGTATGTTGTGCTAAGTTTCCAAGGGTCTAATAGGTGTCACTTAGGGTTTCTATTTCTTAGGAACTATTTTAAAAAGTATAAAAAATTATATTTTTATTACTTGTATGCATAATATTTTCAAAATATATTTTGAAGTTACTTGTGTACTTAGCTTAGACTGTACATGAGATCTATTTTTCAAAAGCCATTTAAAACCTCTAGTGACACATTTTAGAATCCTTGGATCCTTAGAATGGGGTCGGTGATGGCGACCCCGTCAAAACATACGATAGCCTTCTGAAATAGCCTCGCCTCACTTAGATGTTGTGTTAGGACACTACATTATATGGTGTGCTCGGCTAATGACTAAGATGACTTGGTAGTTTTTTTTTATGTACTAGTTATTTCTCTGTTAGTTTGGTTGCCCTATCCTGATATCATCTTTTGTGCTTTTTTTGTGCTTATATGCTTACTATTTTGATATACATTGTAGTACATTAAGTTGGTATTCTTGCAGGGAGCCATTCCTCAAATACACCGTGCGCGTGTAACAAGGGGGAGCACTATGATGAGTTATATGTTAATCATTTATTGCAGGCACTGCTTAGCTCCTCTAGCCACACTTTACTCTGTTTTTTGTTCTTTTTCTCTTTTTATTTTTTATTTTTGAAGGAGTCGTCGGCTTATTTATTTATAATTGTCATATAATTTTCTTATTTGAGTAAATCTCCCCCTTAGATAAAATGAATGATCCAAAGAGGAGAGACATTGAATAAGAGGATATACAACAGACAATTGACAGACGAGAAAAAGAATGTGGAGAACTCTCGTAAAATAAACTTTAAGCGCATAGCCCCAAACCATACGTTCAAAATGAGATCGAATCGAAAATAACTTGGAAACATATCTGTAAAGAAGAACTTACAAAAGTAACCCACAACCAAAGAATCAAGCATAAATTCTTGTTCTGGGGTCAAGGGTAGCTCCCAGAGAACTATATTCCTTTTGTTAATCACATCTCGGGGGATACCCAAGAAAACTCTGTATAAAAATTGTCTTGCTTACAAAATTAATAAAATCTAGTTATTTGAATACTTTTTTTTGTGCATTATTTTTTAAGAGAAAAGACAACAAAACATTCTTAATATTTTTAAATCACAAAAAATAAAAATAATTTTTTTTTGTGCTTTTATATCTGTTTTATCGCTGCACAAAATATCCATTCCAGCCATATCCTCAATAGCAGTCATCTACTTTGTAATTGCTCCCTGCTGAGTCAAACGATGAGAGCCAATAGCCATGGTAACTGAAAGCACCGTGGGCATGGTGGTCAGAATTCCACCGATCTGAAGAACAAGCACATTGCTGACTTAGGTACATGAATATGATCTCCTTGATCATACAATGGCAATTGAGCAGATGCAGAAGTTTCCAATGGAGGTATTTGACCATTTTCGAAACAATGGAACGGAGGGCTGACACTGTGGACATTTTGTCATCTGAAATGATGGGGAAATGAGTTGAGTCCGAAGCAACATCCGGAGGCTGTGTTGTACCAAATAGGAGTAACTCATTTTTTTAGTGCTCTCTACAACGGAACGACACTCTACCTCGCTCTCAAACTACTCCTTATCTTTCTATGAATTATAATATCTACTAATTTCATTAATTTACATGTGAGAATACCTAAATTCTAAGATCCTATCATAATATTAGTTTCATGGATTAACTTTTCCGACCACATCCGTTCATAATATGAGAACATTTGCTTATTTAACACTATACTCGGACGCCGGTGTAAAGACCATTGCAAACATTTTATTATATTCAGATCATACAACACGTCGATTTCAACGGACACATAACATTTACATAATGATTTAAAATATTTATGTCACGATCTTTTAGACAAAATATTTACATTGTCAGTCGGCTACCTAATGCAACCCTCAACTTTTCGTATTTGAGGTTTGAGATACAACAATGATGGTGTTCTCAAGATTAAATTCATGATTGATAATTAAAAATAAAATTTTTAATGATCAAGCTTATCATGCTACTAACTATTTTAAGAAAATAATAAATATATTTATAATTAAGACTAAAAAAGATTTTAAACAATGAACTAAAATGATTTATGATGAATTGTAAGTTTTTAAACAATTCTTTGAAAAGTCTTGTATTAATAATTGATACCATGATTATTCTTAATCAATATTTGGTGTTATCAATATCATGTTTAAAATTAAGATTAATTGGCATCAATCACAATACTTGATATGTCATCAACAAATCCATCATTCAACTTGAATCTCGAAGTACGACACGGATCTCGGGATGATCTTTTGAGCAAAAAAAATATTCAAATTTCAATTAAAAATTATTCAGAACGTTGATTTTAGCAAACTTATAGTTAAACTGACAGACTCGATAATACAAACCCAATGGTATCAAAATTGATCCAACCAGAGTCAAATCTAGCCAAGATCGAGTATTTAAACCACTTTAAGAAAAATTTAGGGCATTTTTGAAAGGTTAAACAGATTCCAAATCTGGCGAGCTCAAAGTCGAATCGAGCGTCTCTACAAGATAAATCCAACGAGCTCAAGATCATTCAATTCTAACATCTTTAAGCCACTCAAATGTCTATCAAACTATTTGATCGAGTGAATCTCTCCAGACTGTCTGATCAGATTGGTTTGTATTCCTTCCTTAAATGCAACCGGGACTCCATAAATAGTCATATCTCTATCTTAAATGGGGATGGTGAGCTTGAAGCCTGAAGAAGATTGATATTTGAAGAAGAAGCTGAAGTCCATCATCACTTCTGCACGACGAACCGACGAACGTCTATTGCTCCTGCAATCACCACCGTCTACCACCACTCGCCGACCACTGTCGGTTACTATCAACCGCCACCCATACTTTGCAACCAAACACTGAAATAACACATCATCCAGAGTGTCGTGCCGACCCCGAAGACTATGCATTGGAGCCCCGATTATTGTTCCTCCTTGCGACCGCTCTTATTGCGGGGCCACAAGTCCTTCCGCGCACAAAAGTAGTAACTTGAGAAACTTTATATTTTTTTCTCGCCAGTGGGACAAGTAGTTATACCTATAATTGCTAGTTCATAGTAAATTTCTTTAACTGGGCTAGAGTCACTGGTTTTTCACGTAAAAAAACTTCTAATGTTTATTCACTTCGCTTGTATTACATAAGTGTTTGTTGAATTTTTATGCGACGACAAAACATTAATTAATCACTCTACTCTCTTGCACGCATCAATACTAATCTTAATAATGAATTTTTTAAAATTATTTTAAAAATGTAAAAAAAAATTTCAATGTAAACCCTCCATTCTATAAGAGCCATTAAACCCACCAACATTAGTAATTCACCCCTTCTACATGATGACAAATGTGAACGCTCTCTTCTCTCAATAATTTGGTTGTGTTTGAATTTTATTTTTTGATTTATTTTACTTTAAATAAATAAATACATGAATGATCAACTTATTTTCTTCATATAAATTAAGAAAAATACATGTATATATTTCAAAATTTATATAAAAATAATTGGATTAACATATCACTAATTACATATGTAATAAATCCACACCACTCAATTCTCATATATTTACATTTCTACCAGGTTATACCACCCAAATCTTTCATTTCACTTAAGAAGTCTACCATATTAACTTCTAAAAAGTGAAATATATCTTTCCCCGTATAGGTAAGGTGATATGCATGTAAAAAAAAAATTAAAGCTTAGAGGTTAGATATGTAAATACATAGGAATTGAGTGGTATGTATGTAGATCTTCAAATAGTTTAACAACATACCATGAATAAACAAATAAACAAAAAAAGATATAACCAAAAATCTTAAAAATCCAAATTTTAGAAAAAACTAAACAGAACTAATTCCCCATCAACCATACTAAACACACTATTGACATCAATTTCACAAATACCAAACTTCACAATCTTCTAAAACAACTAATTATAACAGACTAAACATTGCACTGTACAATCATAACAACAGGAAGAGCAGATACCTGCCACTGAAGACATGGGATTATGCTGATTTACCTAAGATTTCAGCTGAACCAACTTCTTCAAACTGCACAGCAGCATTTTAGATCCATCTGGAGTTGAAATTATTGCTGCCATGCTTAAGAAATGAACAGAGTCTACATTTCTTACAGAATTTTGATGAAACAGCAGCCTTCTCGGAGCAAATTAGCAAACATCAGGAGAATCCCCTGTTAATAATAAGAAAATCAAGGAGAATTAGTCATCGTTATCTGTGTCTGATGATTCATCAGCTTGACAAGATGGGGGTATTCGGCGACGACAAGAGATAACTAGAGGACAATTCTGGTAAATTGCGGCTAGTATATCTTTAGGACGAGAGGCGGCGGTGTCGGTAGGGTGATGGGGTGGTTCATTTGACGATAAGGATGATGAAGTCTTGGAAATGGAATGAATTTGGCCAATCAGGGCGGGTTTAATATGAGAGCGCTGAGTCGCAACATGTCTCCATGTTGATTTCACTTCATCCTTTGGTGACAAAGATCGTGCGAATTTCGAATCTGGTCGATCGAGGCCGATAAAGGTGGGTTTAACATCGAAAATCTGATGAGCATTCTGTTGTTCTCTCTTTCTTTTCCTAAATAACAGCCGTTCGATTCTCCAAGACTGCTCCTTGTGAGTTGAACTGCAATGGCTTGCCCAGTAGGTGCAAGGTGCCGGGCAGTCACAAACATAGCAGTGGCACTGCAATTTTCAGAATTAAGAGGTGAAAAATGTAAAATATAATAAGAAAACTCATACCATGAGAATAGAAGAACTTCATTTTGTGTAAGAAAAAAGATGAGATTGCAGGTGGAGGACCTAACCATATTACAATGCTTTTTGTGTGGAGTCATTGTGAACAAGAATGTAGCGCAGAGATACCGAGGATGTGGATAATCCCTGCAGGCAAACTGCATGGTAATTGAGAACAGTGAATATTAGTTACAAATTTTATAGAATATTTGGGAAATTTACATATGCAGCACACAAATCTCATGTATTTACAGAACTTACACCCAAACATTCATATACTTTTAACTGCCTTACCTTCAATAGATGTATAACACTACTTTTTCTTAGGCACTACACATAAGATAACTGATCTAGTTCTCCTTTGAAATGAATATACAAATTTTTATTTGGTTCTATGATTGAAAAATCACTACAGTAATGAAAAATAAAGGAAAACTGATTTCATAAATCATGTAAAAAACGAAAATGCATCACGCTAAGAAATTTATGCAAAATCATAATAATATATTCATGTAAAAAGCAAGCCGGGTATTAGCAAGAAGCCTTCTTTCCAGTTCTTCAGTGAAGTTGAAAGTTCAATTTATTTTAGGAGCATCTAGTTACACACCACACAGTCCTTATATATTTACATATCTAGCACCTAAACATTCATGTTTACATACATGCCATTCAAATATTTGACACTACATAAAAAATACCACTATTACTAACTTTTTAAAAGTGAAATAAACCTTTCCATGCATAAGTTTTAACACCTAAATGTAATAAATGTAAATATCAAACTTTACGTGTTAGATATGTAAATGCACAAGAATTACATGGTATGTATGCAAAATTTTCCTTTATTTATTTTTTAAAACATGCAATGCATGGTTTGTCGATGAAGTTGAAAGTTTTAACATAGGCCATTGAAAATATTTTGGCTGCTTCATTTTCTCATTTTCCAGGTTTGAGACAGGTGTCAACAGCTAGGATTCAAACAAAAATATTCAGCTATGTATTCAAAGGCCAACTTTCTTTTCCTCACTGCCAGGATGCAGAAGAGATAATCATAATTTTAATACAGTGGCAACTACAATTTTTTGAAGGTTGATAAACAACCATAATCTTGTTCATAACTTCATCAACAATAAAAAACAAAAATTATCTACCACAAGTAAATTTAGAACAAACTGAAAGGTTTTCTACTGTTACCAGATACTCTCTGTTGTTGTTTTTGTTGTTGTTGTTGTTCTTGTTGTTATATTTATATTCCATTTTGTTGTCAGTTCACTCTCTGTTGTTGTTTTTGTTGTTGTTGTTGTTATATTTATATTCCATTTTTTCCATTTTGTTGTCAGTTTATCTTAGCAATTGGAAATCATAACATTTATATGTAAGCAGATTTAGCCAATATTCAAATGTTATAAAAAATAGGGCCTATATATCATTTACAAGTTTTTTCTTAATATGTATCGCAATAATGATAATAATAGTAATAACAACTAGCATCTTCTAATGACATAAAATTATATGTTTGGCAAACCAAATGAGCTCTTACTTCTATGACTTCAAGAGTAATCATGATGTTGGCTGGAATTTGAATCAGCAGACAAAATGATTTTGATTTCCAGCCCACTGTTCACAAACATCCCTACTATTATCCTGACATAACCTTAGACAAAAAAAAACACATGATCTTTCATACATTTTTTTCATTTCCCTCCCCTCACCAAAACCCTCTCTCCTGCACCCAATATCAGGGCTTTTCTTAAATACAATCTTGTGTCAGTACTAAATAATATGTTAAGCAAACATGTTTGTTGTTCTATTTCTTTTCTTTAATTTGAGTAAGACCCAACCAATCAATGTTATCAGTTTTTTAGTAGTTTAAAAAATAACAAAATGGGCTAGTTTATATAAAAAAAAAGATTGTACATCAAGTAGAATGAACAATTTAGGAAATTTGCAAAATACTCTAATAATATACCTTTTTTTTAGGAAGAAGACAACATTTGTGGGTTTTCATAAAGCAATCCTCAAGTTTCTATTTTTTATAATTTAAAATATTTTTCCTTTCTAGCCCATCCAAAAATGTTGGTGAGCATGCATGTTAGTCTCTGCCTAGAGCCCCCCAACAATATATACAAATATATTTTCATCTTTTTAGTATGCTAATCCTAAAAATAATACTCTATGTATGAAAAACTGAATTCATAAAGTTTATGTTATTAAGAAACCAAACAATGATGTTTATTTCGTTCCAACATAACTTCAATCTACTAAAACCAACATAAAGTTTATGTTTATTTCGTTCTAACAATATTCGCATTCCAACATAACTTCAATCTACTAAAACCAACCTCAATCAATCTAAGTTCAAGCCTAAGCTAGAGCTTGAATAATCCAAGTCCTCGCTAGATTAATTTTAAGTCTAATCTCGATCAATGTACATAAGAACCCATGCTAGATCTGTGATTAATCAAGTCAAGTTAAACTCAACCCATCCAACAGGACTCATTTGAACTCATATATAAAACCTTAAAATATTGGGACATAGGAATCAATCCTTGGGTTGCCATAAGTCTCAGTTGAATTTGCTTAGGTGGCAAACAAATGGGGCATCAATGTCTGGGCTTTATGGGGTTCATTGCCTAATGTGGATCTATCTTAATTGCTGTTGATTATAAAATAGGCAAAGTAACATTCTTGTTCATAAAATCTAAAAATCCATGCACATTTGAAGAAACAAAACAATAAATATAAAGAACCCTAGTTGATTTCTTTTTTTATACAAAATTCCCAAAAAACTCGTATTTTTTTTAATGGCGAAGCAACAAAAATAAAGAATGAAAGTGATTCAAAATGCATGTGGAATTGAGGATTCAAAACGAAAACCTAATGGTTGTTTAATCATCGCACACAATGCATTCAGCAACCAAAAAACACCACTTCGGTGATATAATTCAAAAACAATTATTCAATTCCATCATCTGTTACCTGGCCCTTCTCTCCAACAATAAGCATCTCATCCAAAATCTCACCCCCGAGCTCCACAAACTCTGAATCTGCTGCCACACTTTTAGGAGCCCCATCGAGAATCACGCAGTCCTCGTCATCCGACACATCAAGTGAAGCTTCGGGCATCGGCATCATCAGGTCATTGCAATCACCATCTTTTCCCCTTCTTTCCCCGCAGTGATGTGCCCTGGATTCCTCCGGAATCCTCAAACTGATGTCTTCATCCTCATCGGAACTTATGTCGATGATTTCCGGCGCAGATTCCATGGATTGTGAGAAGAATCGGAGCGGAGAGAAATAAAAGATTGGACGGATTTCCAAATCAAGGTTATGGAGCACGGCGAACTGAGAATGATCGCGAGTTAGGGTGTGGAGAAATCAGTGTGGTATGAAGGCGAAGGTATGGCAGGCAATGGAAAATGGAGGTGGACTGAGCTCGGCTGAATCTCGAGAAGAAGACGTGGGATGCCTGAATGGAAGTTAGGAGAAAGCGAAGATTCCGCAAAGTGGAGCAAAAAAAGCTCAAATGTTTATGTTCGTATACATTGTGTAACGAGATGAAAATACGTAGTATCTATAAAAAGAAAATTGAGGTTTTTACATTCATGCCACTTAATTTTTATGTATTTATATATCAAATATTTAATTTTTATTCTTTTATATTTATATCACATAAATCTTTCCGTATCAAATCAAAATGATCATTATTTTAATTTTAAAAAAAAGTCAAATACAGATTCTTGAATGTAAACAAGATGGTATTTATGTAGAAATTAAAGTTTAAGTCTTCGGTATTGATGCGTGCTAGAAAATTTGTGTCGGTAGAGTAACGGAATATTATCTTAGCGTTGTACGAGAATTCAACACACACAAAGATGAAAAAGAAACAAACATAGACAACTCCAGAAACTTTTATGTGGAAGACTCGGAAAGAAAAAAACCACGGGGACTGACCCAGTTGTGAAAATTCACTATTGTTTAATGATTACAGAAATCCCGTCCCACAGACTTGAAATGGTAACTACATTTTTCATATTACAGAGTTGATTGTCAACGTCTGGTTGATGGTGATTCATGACCGTTGGCGGTGGTCAATGACGGTCGGCGGTGATCAACGGTGATCGACGAAGGGCAGCGGTAGTTGACGAAGATCAGTGTAAAAAAAAACAGTCACTCATAAATAAATAAATAAATAAAATAAAAAATGTTTCCTCAATGCAATTTTTGGTTTGGGGGTTCATCTTTAATTTTCGAATAAATAAATATATAAATAAAATAAAAAATGTTTCCTCAATTCAATTTTTGGTTTGGGGGTTCATCTTTAATTTTCGATTTTGTTTTATTATATTGTCAGCCCATCTCTTCC